CAGTTACTAACTTGACTTAGTTACTAACTTGACTCCTAACTCAACTCAGTTACTAACTTGGCTCCTAACTCAACTCAGTTACTAACTTGACTCCTAACCCAACTCAGTTAATAATTTTAGTTTTTGTGATCAAAATGGAATTCATCAATAAATAGTATCGCCGATATGCACATCGTCGATAGTGACATCGCCGAAATAACACATTGTCGATAGTAACATCGCCGAAAGGATACTTCGCCGAAATGCAGATTATCGAATTTCGGCGATGTTTATTTCGGCGATATGAGTTTCGGCGAAGAGCATACTTACCGTGACTCACTACCTACTTCGTCAAGAACAACAAAAAAATAATGTTGCCTTTCTCTCGCATTTTGTTATGTAAAACCAACAGATTTTTTCCCAATGCAAAGAACAGTTTGCGATACTTGAAAAATGGTGTGAGTGTGAAGGTGCATGTGGGTGAGATACCTGTCTTTGTCCTCACCTAAAGAAGCAGTCGCATCCACACACACCCTCTTTTCGCTACTGGTGCATTTGGTGCTTTTTATTATTATGCAAGTTTGTCTGCAGAACCGTCGATGTCCAGTGTTTTTGAAATCGATTACGATATCAAATGTGGAGAGAAGACAGTAGCACCGATTCTATCCAAGATTTCACTATTCGCTCATTTTGGCAAACCTGACGTGGGAGGATATTTCGACAGACAGTGTCAAGGTTTATCACGATCGTTACAATCGGTCATGCATCCGTCAATATTCCACAATATGCCATTTCTACCTCATTAATAAAAAAAACCTAGCAACTAATCGGATCAAGAGTGTGAATGTGTGTAGATGCATCGATTGGACGTCGATGCGTTGACAAAGAAAAGAAAATAGTACAACGGATCAGAACATGCTATCATCTCACTATAAATCCTACAATTGCTTTTTATTTGTTATCACAAAAAAGAAAGTGATAAAAATGTAGGGGTGAGCGTGGGCATGATAATAAATACTGCATGCATCTGTTCGATATTTACAATAGTCACAAATTGAGAAAGACAGAGGACACATCGAGATGAACAGCCATATATTTTTTGGAAACATTAGTCTGACATCTATCGATCTATTTAATATGATTGAACTAATGACTATCGTACCACTAGTACTCATGATCGAAGATGCTGATACATTAAACTTCGTTATGTTCGCTTTTGCGCTCAACTGCTTTAATTTAATACAAAATGCAATTTGCATTTTGTGTTGAAAATGTAGCAATCATCCAATTTGACAATCGATTGTCAGTTTTATAGTGAAAGGTACGTAATTATTAGGCTACTTCTATTTGTTACCATCAACGAAGACAATGAAAACGAGAGTGTATGTCTTTTTTTCAATCGTTTTCTGCTCTTGATTGATGTATGCTTTAACTGGCAGACTCGAAAATAATCAAGATGATGAAGGAATCAGTCTGAAGGAATGTAGATTGGCAACAAAATGCGTTCTTCGTTGGTCATTTCGTCTGGTTATATGTATATTTTTTTGGGGGGCTTGTTTTTGGATTAGTACTCCAGCATGCGAAAAATAACAATTAATTAATACATTAACAGGATACGCTATGCAAATTATATGGACATTCACTATAATTCTTTCAAGTTTGTCACTCGAATCTATTTGAAAAGTTCTTTCTTCTAAGTGCATTTTCATTTCGTGAGTGGAAAACTCCGTATGATCTATGGCAGAAATTTGTAACGTGCTTCTAATTCTTTTTCTGTTTGTAAATATCGCTAGTTTAGTGGTATTTTTTATCAAAGATGGTGGTAATACACCAGCTGTAATGTATCTTCTTGTAGCTGGTTCTTATTTGTCTTTTATCATTGTATGTATTACTCGATTAGCTTTTTAATGTTTCAAATATCTTTGCTTTTGTTGCAAGAGTTAGACCATATCTTTGCTTTTGTTGCAAGAGTTAGACCATATCTTTTGATTTCAAGTTTATTAAATGTAAAGTTACGTCACAAGCGGTCAGACTATTACGAAAACATACAATCAAGATTATTTAACAATTGTAGAGTGTCATTCAATCAGTTCAATGAATCTTTTATCTTTCTTGACATCCCAAGAACAGATTTAAAACAATTGGAAGATCACCAAAGTCACCCAAATCAAGAAGTAACACTTTTCTTTTTTATTAAAAGTGAGCAAAAAATTGTCGCGTCATATCCCGTATACGGCACCTCATTGAGTCTCAAGTGTTCCGTGTCTGTTTCACGCACTTGGTCTTCATCCTACCCCATCAACCCCGTGAAAGCTAATTTGATGACCAAGTAAGACTTCTCATGCGTACAGAGACATTAATTTGAACTCTGATCACTATTCGTTCGATAATACGTTTCATACGAGCACGCACTCAATCGCAAACATAATAAGATCGATAGGATGTAAGTCAAATTGTGACTATGATGTATGGGTGTTGGGTGGTTCACTCCCCATTGGAATATATCCTAACTTGACCGTGATTGTTTTTTGTCTAGACAGTTTTACATCAAAACATGTGTCATGACAAGATCTATGTTCGGTAAAAAGACCTTTCTTGTAATATTCTATTCAGCTTGAAAAAACATCAAAACACAGCTATTGTGAACCAATGCATGCTTTGGATTTTGATCAGTATCTGACGTGCACTAGTTCTATAAAGAATTTATGGAATAGTAAAATATGATAAATTTGTCACCTATGAGAACCTCTGTCATTTGAAACGTTCGAAATATAATGTCGAAATGCTGATCAAACCCAAAGCTACCTATTTGAGCGGCTGTAAGTCGACTCTAACCACTGGTTGAACCCGTACTCTTCATGAAAAAAGTCAAATAGTGTAACATTTTGAATTTGAATATAATTTGGTAAGAGGTTTCGTGTGAGAGATTAAAATCGAAAATCAAAATAATTTCGTCAGTGTTGATGGATGATTCGGTGATGAATGCTCGTTTAAATATGTTTTGTGGAAGTTTGTGTCTTCTTGGATGAAGTTTATGATACTGATAAGGCATATTATGCAATATGTTCTTCTCTTTTAATTGTAATGTATCGTTGATGGATATGTGACTGTGTAATTGTCTTATTCTATACTTATCCACACTCATACTTGCACCCTACGTCTATATGCATCCGGTCTATGAAAACATTTTTTATGAATAG